AGCATTTATTGATTCTCTGAAATGATGCCTTCAATTCTTCTACAAATAGAAGGAGCTTATCAATCAAGAGTATGACCATACTAGAGTGGATAATGCATTTACTTAAACAGCATTTCTTGGGGTAAGAAGAAAATTTAGATTTCCCAAATTACTCTCAAATTATGGATGCAACTAAACTGGAGGAATAGAAAAAATTGTAAACAATTCATCAACAATAACTTTAACCTCAAATCCTATACACATTTGCCTGCAAGTAAATTCAACTGGTCTTAAATTGCAGTTGATTTAAAACAGCATTGTACAGTAAATATTTTAAAGTGATCCTTAAAAGCTGGTTTTAAAAAGCAAAAATGTGAAACAACGCTTTTCCAAGGGTCCCATTGGTGCTATATTTTGTTTCAGATCTAGAATGATTCAGGTTGTAATATATTATTCATCATATACAAAGCAGAGGGCATCAGTTCACAACTTTGTCCCACAATGACAATCCTTTTAGAAATAAGTTTGCTTTGTTTGAAAGTACAGTTGTTCTTTTCAGGCTACACGTTTTAAAACACTCATTCAAGCAGATTCTCCCCAGCACCACCACAGGCTTCTGAATCTTGCACTTCAGTCCAAAACTAACAGTGTTTTCATCCAAAAGGTCATTGGCTCTTTTCATTTTGGTAATCACTTGGAACTGTTACAGCCACCTCCAACTCTGCCTTTAATACAAAGAAGAAATGTATCCAAATATATTTGACAGAAGACTGACTACTATATAAACAGGAAAATTGTTAGTAGGATATCCAGTGCAAATAGCTTAGAATCCAAAAAAAACTACAGATACATACATAGCAACCCAAGTGCCATTTCCTGCTTTGTGGATATAGATCCATACGTACATAAAGAATCCACAAAACAACACTGATCATTAAACTGTGAAATTGGGCTAAATCAAACATTAGACATATAAAGGCAAATATTATTTTTGTGGTGGATAATAAAAACATGAGTTTTCCAATGGAAATAGACTCATTTCCTAAAACATAAGTGGGGGGGGAGGCATCTCTATGTGCACAAAAGTTGGATTTCTAGATTCTAAGGGGACTCTTGTTCCTAGTTTTATTTTAGACAATCGGTACAAAATGTAAACAATCATAAGGAAGATAATATGTAAAAGCTACTAGATATCTTCCAATACTGGGAGGTCTGTTTAGAACCCAAAAGCCACACTGGCAACATATCATCAAGTAATAGGTTGCGGCTGATTTGTTCACTGGTCCAGGGACCTATCTTCTTTACTACCTCTTTGTAGCCTTTTGCTTATAATTAAAGTTGCTTATAAAGTTTCAACATCTTGGGACTGACAAACAGACATGACTGGATCCTCCCTTATGTCTCATCATTATCTTGACAATAACCAGTGTAAAAATTTACTAAATCAAGTTTCAAAAAAGAAAAAAGAAAAGAAAAAGCCCATAGGTTGAATGTACACTTTCAAAAAGGAGATAGAGGAAGATATCAGTCAGGATCCAAGGCACTATGAGATTAATATTGTATGTTCAATGGATTCTTTAACTTGTCCCCCCCCCCCATATTTTTGAAGTGGTGGGTCTGCTGTTTTTGGAGCCCAGCCATTACATATAAAAGTCTCTCTCCCACCTATTCACACTCCCACGACATCACATCACCTCAACTCATAAAGGATTTGCTGCTGAGAAAACGTACCTAAATTGCAACCAGTAAAATGTTAAACGATTGCAAGAAATGGGAATGGTGTTTGCTATTTCATGCTTCTCACTGTTTGAACCATTTTTGAACTGTTTTAGTTACTTTGAATTTTTGCCAAAGCAACTTTTGTTTCTGAATCTTAATATCAGGAAGAAGGTTAGTGGGCCTTTTACAGACCAAGTGCCGGTACTTGCAAAAGCATTTCCCATCAACTCATCCATTCTGACACTGTAGATAAAGTGATGGCCAAACTTGGCCCTCCAGCGGTTTTAGGACTACAATTCCCATCATCGCTGACCACTGGTCCTGTTAGCTAGGGATGATGGGAGTTGTAGTCCCAAAACAGTTTGGACATCACTACTGTAGATGAAAATGATGACGACTAGCTCACAATACTTAAAAAATATACATAACAGACATATTTTACCCCTTTAAATTAGCCTAGTATAGGAAAGATGTAGAAAGGTTTTGTAACTAAATACAATCCTACCTAATTTCCCTCCCCGCAAGGCTAAGAGCCCATGAATAATGTTTAGTGGAAAATATGGGTGAAATTGAACAGACATTCATTCAAACAATGCAAAACCTACAGGAAGAAGATCAATGAAAAAGAGAATAGCACTGAATTGGTCTCTTAAAATGTCAGTGTTGTACTCTCATTAAATGGCATACAGTAATTGCCTTAAATAGACAAAATACAATCTATCTTATTACTATAGCACAAATGATAACTACAGCATCTAAACCACTTTAATAAACCCCTCTAATAAATCTTGGAATAACCGAAATTGCTCCAGTTTTTGCTGAGGTTTGTAACTAAACACCTCTGGCAGGACTGAGTACAATGCAAAAGTGAGATCTTGAAGAGGAAGAAAGTCACATGGTCTCATTCCAATATACATTTAGAACAACTTTAGAACAACTACTGTACTGGCTTCTCTTATTTACTTATTACAGCCAATGACCAATTAATGTGCATCTGAACAATGCACAATTGTGCATGCATGCAAGGTGCCAAACCTGGAAGTGACCTGAAAATGTTACTAAACAGGTCACTAAAAGGGTGGAACGGGGGCAGAGCAGAACGGGGGGTGCTTATACATGCTCCGCTGATGTGCACAGTGGCCAGGAATGAAACCCTCATGCAAAATGGTCACCAACTGTATGTATTTATTCTGGCCTTCCTCCCAAAGCTGCCTGGGACGGTAAACAACAAACACAATACAATTTATTTTATTTTGTTTTTAAAAAACCAATCTATATTCTCAAAGATAAACAATCTCAAGGTTGGCAGGAACAATCTATTTCAGCCAACAAATGCCTGGGTGAAAAGGAAGATTTAAAACAACATCTAAATGTTAATAATGAGGGAGGGAAACACAACTAATCAGAGATGGCATTCCATAAGTGAGAAATCACTATTGAAGAGGCTCTGTTTCAGGCCAGCTCCAGCTGGGCAAAACCTACCAGTGGCACCACCATCATAGCGTCTCCTGACAACTGTAAGATCTGGGATAGTTGATATTGTGAGAGGTAAACTTTTAAGTACTGTTTAGGGATAATAAGCTAGTTTAGGGCTTACTAGTACAAACACTCTTAATTGGGCCCAGAATCTCACACTGGCAGCATGCTGCACTTTCAAAATTGGTGACACCTAGTCTCATTAGGCTTATCATCCTGGCAGTCACATCCTGCATTTCCAGACCAAGGCAGTCCAACACAGAATATGTTGCAGTAGTTCTGACAAACAAGTCACTATAGCACAGACTACTGGTGACAGTCTATCCCAGTCCAGCAACAGCTGTAGCTGGTGAAACAGCATAAGCAGGGCATACACAATCCTGATTACAGAGGCCACCTCAGACTCTGGTGACAGAAATCCAGGAACATCCCCAGACTATTAAAATCCAAGAACATCCCCCAGTGGGAATGAAAATGCTCCCAGAGCAGGAAACCCACCTAAATCCTGCACATGAAAACCACTCACCCACAGCACTTTCATCTCATTAGTATTCATCTCAGTTTATTGACCCCACTCAGGTCATCACTGTTTCTAGCCTCTCATTCAGAAGGAAAGGGAAAACAGAGCAGCACCATGCTCCAAATCCCCAAATGGTAACTCCCAAATGTTTCACATAGATGTTGAATAGCACAGGAGACAGAATAGGCTCCTGTCATGGGAGCCTATGTCAATAGTCCCCGAGTATTACTTTCTGGTCTGGTAGTGACCCTGTAGGTAGCAGAATCTCTCTAATACACGTCCCCCAACTCCCAATCCTGTGGTTCTAGAAGGATACTATAGTGAAACTGTCAAAAGCTGCTGAGAAATCAAGGAGAAGCAACAGGGTTGATTCCACCCCATCAATCGGGGTGACCAAGGCTGTTCTGGTGCTAAACCTGGGTGTTAAACTAGACTGAAATGGGTCAAGGCCCACCTACCGGTATCTTGATAACCTGTAATTTGCTTCTCCCAAACATATCTGCAGCTGACTAGCAAATTGGCAACTGCTTTCTTGAACACCCTGGAGACTGGGTAATAGTTTTCTAAAATCTCAGGGTCCATGGAGGGCCTAATCTGGAGGGAGAGCAGCACCAACTCCCTCACACAGTGTTATCAACCATAATGAGCAGGGATCGAGAGGGCGTGTAGTTGTCATCACCAGTGCAAAGGTCCTGCCCAAATCCTGAGGCTACAACAATTCGAAACAGCTCTGCTGGGTGGTTTACTGAATACACAGTGGAAGCTAAGAAGCTGCCTCTACTGCCTATATTGAGACAAATCCACATCAATACTTAAGCCACATCTGCTCTAGCCGTTGGGATGGCCCACTTCGTTGACTGGAGCTCCTGAGAAAATCAAGGAGCCACCTGGCTGCCACATGGAAGTCCAGGGTATTTATAAGTGATTGTGTTGATGGCCCTGTCCATCTTGCAAGCCTAGGGTCTTGAAAAGAGCACCAGACATGCTTTCTGGAAAATTTCCCGAATCTTTTGATAATCCATCAGCTTCTATCACTCTCTGGGGGCTGACCAACTTCCAGTCATGGTTATCAAAACTTCACCCTTTCTCCCTTCCAAGCTCCATGAAATAATGCATAGCAAACATACTAGTACAGAATAAAGCAGGAAGCTAAGCTTTAATGAATTGTTTTTTAGGCCATTCAAATGGTCTGCATTACAGAACAGTACCATAATTTTTTGAATTTAACATGTAGTCAATTTTATGCATACAGTACCTCAGAGATTGAGAGAGGGGAGTATACAAAATAAAGTCCACAACAACTTACTGCCCAGGTTTTCGTCAGTCTGAAAATAGGTGCGCTTTGCAGAGCTGATACCACAGACATGAGGGAATGAAGGTTGTTCAGTTCTAGAAGTTTCTGAGGAGGGAGGAAAAACAGGCCAAAAACCCATCAGTTTTCCATATGGGGTTGGAATGTCCTAGCTCATTCAACAAAATAAAATATGTTCCAAGACCTCACTCTTAATATTGTAAAATATAGAACATACAAAAGAATTGAATGCATTGTGACATGAAACTACAAAATGTAAAGACCAGATGCAAAGGAAACAGATTGCGCTATTACTTAGTGTTCACTTTTAATGCTTATAATGCAAGTAAGTAATAAGCAAATTACAAAATTCAGCACGCACAACACTCATTAGGAACTTTTTTGCTATACAGAGAATAATAACTTACTGTGCAATTCAGAAATATAAACCTGAAGCCAATAGGCTCGCCTCCTCCCTTCAAAGTGGGCAATGTGTTAGATAAACAAAACTGAGTAATAAGCGATATTCACTATATATGGAATGGCTCTTGCGTTTGTTTGTTGCTTTACAAAATGTCTGGTCTCCTTCGTGAAAGTCTTTGCCCTTTTGATTTGGGTGTGTGAAAACAGATGAGCAAATACTCTGATTTAGCTGGTGAGGCATGGATCTTAACTCAATAGATTGAAGTTACTTCTGGACTGGCTTACGACAAACTTATTCTCTAACACAGAAGGGCCTTCCCCTCCACTGTTACTAAAGTTTATCATATTCCCATAGATCTGAGAGCTTCCTTACATGGTTGGGCTGTGGTGGGGAATCTTACTTCATAAATATAAGGAGTCTGGGGATGAAGCAGAGACGTTTTACCAACTTCTTAGTTTTGCATTCTTAGGGTTATCACTCATTAAAAAATGTTTTTAAAAACAAAAAGAGAAGTCATACAAATGATAATAATTTCTTGCCATCACTCCAAATGGGTATTCAGAGTTTACTTTTAGCCTGCTAGCATTTGGATCTGATCAATTTCTCTTCAGAGATTTAGCACACCCCTAACAAATTAAAATATCACTATCCAAGTAGCATATACAACAGTATTTAAGCATATTGGTAGGCATATTAGCACAATTGATAAACATCAGAGGGATATTAGTGCAACTGATAATAAAATCAGAGCACCTGGAATTCAAAATAACACATTTCTAAGTCTTTTTAAATGATATTAATTCAAACTTATATTTTCAGAGAATAAAATAAATGGGAACAAAAATTATCAATTATCCTATAGCTGGCAAATCTCCCAGGTGATTTCAGTCTTCCCCAGCTTGGACCTGGGGAAAGGTGGGCATGCAAGGCATTGGTCCTTGTGACACAGACCAATCAATCTGTTACAAGTTCCAAGAGTGCAAGAAGGTCTTTAAAAAAGATGAAGTTGCCATTCCCCATGCTAATGTGGGTTAATTAAAACTAACATTAAATGTTAGTCTAGGAAGTAAGACAGAATTCTGATTTTACATCTCTCTCAGATTACTTTGGCTAGGAATTGTGGCATTCCTTAAAACATTTTAGGTCATTTACAAAAATATAAAAGGATAATCATTACTTGGGCAGGAGACGAAGGGGAAAGTGCTAGATTCTGTTGTCTAGGTAGCATGCATAAGCGCTAGGATTGACTGATTTGTTTGCTGTCTTCTCAAATGGATTTTGCCCTTTTAAAGTGGAAGAGTTGATGAATATCACTGGCTTAGCCAAATATGTCATTCTGTTTACCTCCTGCAGGGGAGTATGGGAAATTTCTACACTGTCTTTGCAATCCTCAGTTGTTCATTGTATAGGCAAAGAAAACTGCTCAAAAGGGACTGTTCCCTGTTCCAAAGCATATCAGGATTTGTTTTTATCTGGATCTTGATTCTGAGGCTGTTTCCTTATCTGGAAATGTTACTTGATACGTTACATACATTACTTGATTAACAGCCTCCACAGGTGGGAGGAACATGTGATGAGTCTAAGTCTGAGCTAGAAGGCAGGTGCTGGTTTGAAATATGTCTCCAAAGACAAGAGTGAAATTGAGATGAGATGATTAGAATGATTACAAAGCCAATAATGAAACAGGAGGGGGAGAGGAGGTAAGTAAAATATGAGGAAACAGTCGGATTTGACATATGGCTACAGAGTGTTGGCTCAGCTTGCAGTGATATACTGCTTTTCATGGTGCTAGTTATGCAGCAGACTCTCATCCAAACTCTTGTTTACTTATATTAATTAGGTTTTTTTCCTTGCCACTTTCTTAAAGTGCCTCTTTAATTTAATAAAGTGTTCTACTGTAAACACAAATCACTCCTAAAAACTGAACAGCTAATGTGTGGGCAGAATCACATGAGTTTCTCAACTGCAATTTACTGGTCAAAAAGCTAGATTTTGAATTTTCTTTTACCTTGTATGTAATTCCAAGATACCTCAATACAAAATAAGTAGTTTACTCAATATTTTCGAGAACTTGAAATGTTCATAAGCACTTCTTTTAAGGTACTGAGTAAATTTACCCTGGGATTTTGTGTTTGGTAAAATGTCACTTAGCCTAAAGCTCTGTGGATGAAAACAATTAATTGACTGAATTCATATTAGAATTAGCCAACATAGTAGGTATTATCTGTTCATATATACGGATAGATGTAATATGGATAGATGTAATACAGCGGTACCTCGGATTACATACGCTTCAGGTTACAGACTCTGCTAACCCAGAAATAGTACCTCGGGTTAAGAACTTTGCTTCCAGATGAGAAAATAAATTGTGTGGTGGCGGCGCAACAGCAGCAAAAGGCCCCATTAGCTAAAGTGGTGCTTCAGGTTAAGACCAGTTTCAGGTTAAGAATGGACCTCCGGAACGAATTAAGTACGTAACCAGAGGTACCACTGTAACTAACAACAATTTTTCTGCTGGCTAAATTGCCCCTGGTTTCTACAGAACACATTTTCTTTTTCAACAGTACAAGAGAAACGGAAGATGGCTATGAAGTGGCAAAAATATTTAGAGAGACTTTTATTTAAAAGCAAAAAGCTTACCTTTGCTATTTTCACAAAATGGCTCAATATTTCTGCCCTTATTTTTAATGTCTGTGCTGTTAAAATTTCTCGTACGACCCAGAAACTGACCTATGAAAATAAAAATATTGACTTTAATTTAATGAAAAAAGCAGGCTTCATTGAATTAAAACAAATTTGGTACCACTTAAGAATCTTAAACAACCGGCTCAGATGTGCAAAGCATGTAATAGTGCAAACCACTATGTCTACAAATAAGCATATCCCTATGTCAAAAGGACAGAGAGATAGACATTCTCTGTTTTAGAGAAAGAATGTGTTGAAACATCCACAGGAGGCAGTTGCGGCTAACTAACCCCAGTGCAAGATATTTCATACAAGCTACGTAAGTACCAGAACCTTTGCTGATATGAAAAGATATTGCTATTTAGAATAAGGCACTGTAATTCTCTATCATATACAACCCTGTGGAACCGCTCTAAGAAGTCATGCCTATTGAGTTATTAATAACCACCTGAATTCATCATAGTGATTGCACAGTAAGGTATGAACATTACTGTGACCCAAGCACAGTTGTCTGAATGTGCTTCTTTCCTGAACTGAGTTCAGTTTTGGATTACAGAAGGATGATGTAAGTTTTCTTGGTATTCTATTGAGCCTAGTAACTTCATTGCTCTTTACCAGGCATAGGCAAACTCCAGCCCGCCAAATGTTTGGAACTACAATTCCCATCATCCCTAGCTAACAGGACCAGTGGTCAGGGATCATGGAAATTGTAGTCCCAAACATCTGGAGGGCCGGAGTTTGCCTATGCCTGCTCTTTACTGATAAAATCATTTATTTTCTACTCCAGCTAACATCTATATATATATATATATATATGCAGGTTTTGGTGTCCTCGGGTGTCTTCCCGTGTAAAAGTTGGGGTGTCTAGGCGACGTTTCGACGAGGTCTCACTCGTCATCTTCAGGCTGGTGCTTTCGGCTTCTTGTTACTGGAACAGAGCAGGATCTCAGTGTTTGAGTTCCTATAAATACTGTTGAGGAGGTGTGGTGTATAGCCTCCAACCACACCTCCTCAACAGTATTTATATTTATAGCACAGCCCTATATATATATGATAGGGCTGTGCTATAAATCGTCATATCGTTGAATGCAAGTATTGAAATAACATCATGATATGTGTTTCAACAGGGCAATATACCAGTGAACAAAAGGTGGAGACTTAACAGCTTCCAGGGGTAGCTTAGCTGAACCCATACTTTACAGACACTTTGCAGGTAATTAGCAGGCAAGGTGTCTTCAGCTTTGTTTGCTCTCTCCCTCCTCCCTCCTAACCAATAGGAAATGACAATAAGCCTTCACACTAACCAGCAAACTCTTTCATCTTCACAGTATATTTCCACTTAGGTAAAGGGACCCCTGACCAATAGGTCCATTCGTGAAGGACTCTGGGGTTGCGGCGCTCATCTCGCTTTATTGGCCGAGGGAGCTGGCATACAACTTCCGGGTCATATGGCCAGCATGACTAAGCCACTTCTGGCGAACCAGAGCAGCGCACAGAAATGGCGTTTACCTTCCTGCCGGAGTGGTACCTATTTATCTACTTGCACTTTGACGTACTTTTGAATTGCTAGGTTGGCAGGAGCAGGGACCGAGCAACGGGAGCTCACCCCTCGCGGGGATTCAAACCACCAACCTTCTGATCGGCAAGCCCTAAGCTCTGTGGTTTAACCACAGTGCCCTTTCTTTCCACTTAGAGCTCAGTTAATTATGCAAAGCCTGCTAACAATCCAGGAGGAACCTCCCACAGCTAGACAATCAAAGATCCAGCAGCAAGGTAAAGAAAGAATGTAAAAAAGAACTGGAAAGCACTTTTTTCTTTTCTCCCACTCCCCCCCCCCACCAGTGAAAAAAAGAGGGGGATAAGTTTTTGTTTTTATTTTCTGGTGGTGTTTATGTTGTTGGTTTCCCCTAAATAGCTTCCTCCATATTAAGATGGATGGGTGAATTTATTTATTTATTTATTGGAGGCTATCTCTTTGCTTGCTTGCCCTCTCTCCCTCCCTTTGATAAAAAGAGAGAGCTTGGTGGGATGAGGGCTTTTGCGGGGGCTTTCTGTGGGGGGGGGTGAAGGGAAGAGGAATTAGTTGGCCACCTTATGCTGAAATGAGAGGTTGGGTACTATGTGAGAATTATGGGGAGGGTGTTTTTTGGTAAACAGTACAAGCAAATGCATGTCTACTCACAAGCAAGCCCTACTGAATTGACTGAGGCTTACTCCCAGGAAAGTAGAATTAAGTTTAGTTGAACTCAGTGGGGCTTATGCATGTATAGATTTCACTTAGACCTCTGAGTGAGGAAGCAGATGCAACTTGACTACTAAATCACTTAAACTAGGGGAGGGGGCACTAGCACACATCAAAAGTATTGCTGCTAAAAGTAAGCCCCCTCCCCTTTTAGCAGCTTTCTTGCAGACCCATCTACAATGAAACAGCTGATGAAACAAAGGCAGGAGGAACACCCAGACTAAGCAGGATTTCCTTCCGTTGCATCCGCTGGTGAGGGGTGGAATCCTGCTAAGCACTGGGTTCAGGTGCACAAGATACCTCCAGGCAGGAAGCTCTCTCATGCAATTGGACCAAGCAGAGTTGCCCTCTGTTCACATCAACTGAAATGGGACGGGGTGTGTGCAAAGAGAGGGCCATCCTGCTTAGAACTGGGCATAACAGAGTGCACGTGTGCCTGGACCAAGACACTTTGGAAGCTGCTAAGGGGGCTTTGGACAAGACCCTGCCTTATGATATCAGGTGTAGGATAGGTGGGTGCTGTTTGATCAAAATAGCCCATCAGGCCAAGACTAGCAGACAAGCTTCAGGTTTTTCACCCTTCCCATAGCGGCATGCAACAATAAAAACGAAACAAGTGAAAACAGAAAAAAATCATTCTAAAAATAAATAATGATAAAATACTGTCCATGAGTAAACTAATATTTCTGGAAAATCTTCTCAACATAAAAAGCTTTTCGTATCTGATGAAATGTGTATAGTCTGGAAACTGTCTAATCTTCAGTGGGCACTGTGTTCCATAGGGCAGGTGCTGCTGTGCTGAAGGATCTGGTATGAGTTGTTATGGAAGAAACCTCTGGAACATTCAGCACCACAAGGAAAGCCTCTGTAGATGACCATTGTGAACAGGCAGTTGTACGGTAAGGCAATCCCTCAGATACCCTGGTCCCAAACTGTTGAAAGCTCTGTACACCAAAAGCCAAGCCTTAAATTTTGGCTGGTAGCATATTGACAACAAGTGCAGTTCCTTCAACACTGGTGTTATGTGTTACTAGAAGGCAATCCTGGCCACAAGACGGGCTTCCACACAATAATAGTAGGACAGTCCTATAATCCAATATCAAGGTTAGCAATGCATGGACGACTGTTGCTAAGCTTTCCCTGTCAAGAGCAGCTATAGCTGGGACACTAGCTAACACAGGAAGAAAGCAGTCCTAGCCACCATGGCCACATGAGCCTTCATTCATGGATCAAGGAATACTCCTATTCCACCTCCCTGTTCCCTTAGAAGAAGTGCAACCCCATCTAGAATGGGTAACTTCCTGAAATCCCAGGCAGCTATAAGTTTCTAACTATTAACAAGATAGGAAACAAGATGAAGGTTTGATTACTTCATAATTAGCTAATCCATCAAACACAGTTGTTAAAAATCCAGATATAGCAAGTATCTAATTGTACAGTACAGTTACAAATCCAACCTGCATTAAGCTGAGAGACTATGATTATGTATTAACTAATTAGAAACTTTACCTGATTAAACCTCCTTGTAAAGGCAACAACATTGGGGGCAAGGATGTGTTTTTCTTTCTTATTCCATCCACAACTTGCTAGTTCCTAGAAAATATAACATAATACCATATTTAAAAAAATCTTTCACAGCATTAAATAAAACTTTCCATAAAGAAAACACACCAGCGAAGAAACAGGATTTTAAAATTCCAAATGGACAGAATTGGAAAACTATTATAGCTTCTACTAAAATCTAGTCACTGGATCCTTTGATTTTCCTTGTACTCACAACAGGTATGTCCCCTATAATTCATTATCTTATTTTTAAATCCTGCCTTTCTTCTGCCTTGGAAACCAAGGCAGCACACAGGCACCCATCCAGGCACTAGCAGGATTCAGACCTGCTAATAGCTTCAGCAGTGTGGTGGTCTTATGCGCATTCAGGCGATATCCTAGGCCCTAAAAGTTAACGCCTGAGTCCAAAACTAAAGTAAGATGTAATAGCACAGACAAAGAATGTGGAATACCAAGGCCAGTTTTTTGTTTTTTTTTAATTTCACTGATGAGACCAGAGACTTTGCTCCATAGTGAGACTTTAGCAAAGGAAGAACCCGTATCTCACTGACATCCAATGAAGCCGAATGTTGGAAGATTTAGGACAGATAAAAGTAAGTACACCTTCCTGTAGCACATAGGCAATGGAACTCACTCCCCTAGGAGGCAACGATGGTCACCAAGTTGGATGACTTTAAAAGAGAATTAGACAAATTCAGGGAGGAAAGGGCTATCAATGAATATGCTCTACCTCCAGTTGGAGGTAGCAATGCTTCTGAATAACAGTTGCTGAGAACCACGGAAGGGGAGAGTGCTCTTGTGCTAATGTTTTGTTGCTGGTTTTCCACAGTAACTGTGGGTCACTGTGAGAATACGATGCTGAACTAGATGGGCCACTGGTCTGCACCAGCAGTCTATTCTTATGTTATTGCATATTTCAAGGTGGGCAGGCACATAGGCACACCTTGATCTCTTCTTTGCTGCAATTTAGGATGGAAATGAACAGAGAAGAAAAGTCTCAGCCATGTCCATAGGTGCCATCGGGGGAGGGGGCGTAGGTGCCTTGGCACTCACAAATTTCCACTCTGGGTGCCCTACCAAGGCCTGTCATGGACACAGACCCAGCCTGGAAGCAGGGCCACACTTCCAGAAGCACATAAGCATCCACAGTGGCCCCCAACAGAAGCCCCACAGCAGAGATGGAGGCCCTGACCAAGTCACCGCCATGACTCCAGAGAGCCAGCACAGGTTGAGCAGTGTGCACCAGTGGGATGTGATGGCATGGTGTCACGTTGCATGCACGCCACTGGGCACCCACAATCTGGGGCCCAAGTTGGTGCCTCTGACCATGTCCCACTCTCCAGGCCAAGGGAAAGGGTACCATGAGCTCCCACAACCTCTGGAACACAACACAACTGTGGTACCCTCTTTAGGATGACAGCTAATCTTCTGTAAGAAATGTGTTGGTTTTTCTAAGCATATTAAAAATTAAAAGTGATTTCCCTATTCTTTATATAGACCCATCCCTATTTTTCTAAAATTATTAGAAACCTTGATTGCAATGCAAATCCTGTTTTGCAATCTACCATTTTATTTAAGAAACACATCTTATGACCAAGTGACACCTCGTCGCTAAACGGAACTAAAATTGTATTTTCTAAGGAAATAATTTGGCTCCCTATTCTGATGAAATAATCCTGAATTTTGTGCTTTGTATATTATAGTCAAACACCTCTGTGGCTTTCCTACATCTTAACTATTTTTCAGTATCACTATGGACATTATAAGGCGGCTATGTCTGACTTAATTGTCAGCTCCACGGGGGTAATGTGCAACAAAGGCAAAACATTCTATGCGTCTAATGAGATTTGCTGTGAATTGGATGGATTAAAAGGATGCCCAATTAAGCAAGGACAGTATATGTAAAGCCCACCATAATTAATTTTCACTGGATAAACTTATTACAGCTGCTTGTTTAATGGAAGGTATTTTAATGAAATCCCATTTCTGTATAACTAGAGAGCATCAGCACATGTTAGCACTTTTGCAATATCAATGTTTCTTGAGTTCACACATTTGGGTGAAGTGGTGCATCACCCTGTCCTGAATCAGAGACTTAATCAGGGCAGTGGTGTAGCATGGGGGCCTGGGGGGGCCATGGTCCTGGGCACATAACGAGGTTCCCACATGACAGGCTTCTTCATTGAGGCCAGAGCCACAGAGAGGAAAGCCATGCCCGGGCCAGGCCTTCCGCCATTCAATGGCTCAATGCTGCCAGCCGAAGTGGCAGAGAGGAGGAGAGGCGGCAGTGGAGGCGGTGCCCCTCTACTCTGAGTGCATCCCCACCACACCACTTTCCGAGGCTGCGACTGGAGAGTCTGACCCCAATCACACAGGGCTGCCAGGTTGGCATGAGTGCACACCCTGCCCCTGTGACAGGTGGTGGCAGCATACACTCTGCTGCTGAATCAGGGTACTCTGTTAGAGGAGTTTTGGTGGAAGTCTCTGTCCAGAACCCAAGTGTGGCGCAGACAGGCCATAGAGATACCAGTGGCAGCCTTAGGATGGCTACCTTGGTAAATCAGCATATTGGGGGAGGCCATATTCCTGGGCACAACCCTGCTATATACGCTAGGTGCCAAATGGCTCCTTAAACCAGGCTTGCAGTCGCCAAAGCAGAATGTCTAGTTGCTGTTTTTTTCAAATGATGCGCTGACTATGATTGATTATCAGCTAAACATTTAGCTAGTTAAGATGATAATCTTGAGCTCAGTGAAGAACTTTGGGAACTTAAAGAAGAAAAGTCACTTGATCCAAGTACAGTTCACATATATATTGGCCTATTCTGACCTCTTTTTCTTAATGGTGACTGCTCCTGTTCAGGCTGCACAATAAAAGCATTTTGGTTCCAGAAATCCATTCTGATTGTACAGATAAAATATAACGGATAGAATGCTACAGGATGGGGGTATTAGGGTGTGGAAACAGTCCAGATCCAATGATCCCCAGATGCTGGAGATTTCAGGCACCATCCTGGTGCCCAGGCATCTTTACTTGATCGCAAGTGGTTGAAAGCCAGTTGCAAAATGCACCTGGCAGCTGGCTAGTTTCAAACATTGCCTTGAAGCAGTTTCAACCCTCTGGTAGGAGGCTGAAATGGATATACACCCAATACCTGAGCCAAAATTCCACCTACACCTGTAATCAATAAAGTTGAGGCCATTTTTAATCCAGATCTTTGTCTGTCTGAGTTCATTCTATTGCACATCACAGTACTCACTGCAAAGGAGAAGGTAGCCCTGTGACTGGTACCACAATAAAAACCCATTTTTGTATAAATAGAGAGCATCAGCAAATGTTAGCGCTTCTGCAATAATATTTCAAAAGCACCTTCTATATATATTCTTAACGGAAAAGAAAATCCTCTGAAATGCCACGTAAACTTTATTTGACTTGGAGGTTTTATTACAGTAATGTCAGTGCAATGAATGTCTTTATTCAACCTCAGTGGCCTGGAAATGCTTCTACCCATCACTACCTCAAGGTAACAGTCCTCCTTTATGATTCTGCCAGATTCTCGCACAGTAAAAGGATACTGAGAAATATAGGACAATGATTTTTGCATCTATCATTTTAAGATTCCTACAAAATATCACTGAATTTTCAGTGTGGATGGGAATATAATACAGTATGACCATAAAAATGTGCTTAAATGCTGTCAACATAATATAATGACCACTATATTGTCATCTTATTGCCCAAACACTACAAACTCATTTTGGGATGTGGGCTAATATCGGCTCTGGTTCCTCAGTCATCAATGGATGGTTCAGATGAGCTATGCATACACTAGGAATTTCTTTTAAATGCCTAAAAGCCCCACGGAATTCATGAGCCACACTTTGGCCACCCTAATCAATAGCTATCTCCCACAAATCCTTTTCTGGAACCTCAACTATTCTGCTACCAGCTGAGAAAGTTGAAAACAGCTAATACCATAGTACCCAGACCATTCCTGTTACGTTCATTTCTCAGATTAGGAGAGCTAGTCAGGATCATCCAAAAGGTTGGCTTTGTATAGTGCTTGAGTGGCTGATGCATTTTCCTAGTCCTGTTAACATAGAGCTCTGGAGACAGTGGGTCTTATGTAGCACAAACAAAACATTTCAATGTATTTGAATGCTTTTACTTTAAATTGGATATATATGCATACTTCAGAGCTATGCACATGCACAAATATAATCCAAAAGGGAAAAAGAAACATTATTTTTGCCAAGGGAAAAATGATAATTTCACATTATCCCTTGATGTTCCAAATACATTCTACAGCTTGCCTCCACAATTACTAGCTCAGGTTACTACAAATCTATATAGCTTTTGCATTCAGAATTAACCTACTGTGTATATAGCATCCTGGAAATGAGTTAACCAGATTATCTACCCTAAGCCACTATTAGCAACCACAGAGCTTCAAACAACTCTGTTATGCAAGTTTCTCCAACATCAGCTCTGTACTGTGGAGGTTATGCAGCCCAAGACAGGGAGCCAGCCAAAGCGCTAGAAGTCTGCCTCCAAAGAATTCTATAGGCATGTGATAGAATGTCCTGTAGGAATCCAAAAGCCCACATGTGCTGAGAACAGCGGGAAAATCACTTCATCTCCACCCACGCTTCTCAACACAAGTTTCCAACTTGTATTTGCTGTGAATAATGGTGCCAGTTCACACCTGTCAAGACTCGTGTCTCCCCCATGTGATAAACAGATGTCTGGTGGTCAAAGAGCCTGGAAAGCATTTGTTCACGTGGCACAAATCTGCTAAGCATGATAGCAGAACTGAAATGAGATTGAAGGGGCGGGCTACAAAAATAGTAAAAACAGGCCTGTAAATATCAGCAGAAATAATTATCACTACAATAAGTACAGGCCAGGAAAATAAACACATTTGTGCCTGGAAAATGCATTTGAAAGTTTACATTTTGACTATTTACCAGCAGATTTTACCAGAAAAAGGTCTTAAACAACACACACTCCCGCCCCATAGTATTTGTCTA